TTCCAAGTAGCTGGAATTACAGGCATGCACTACCACGCCTGGTTGATTTTTTGATTTATTGTAGAGATGAGGTCTCGCTGCCCAGGCGGGTCTCGAACCCGTGGGCTCAGGCAATCCACTCACCTCAGCCTCCCAAAGGCGCGGGATTACAGGCTGAGCCACCAAGCCCGGCTTGATTTTTGCATTTAAAGAGAGCGATTTGGTTCTTTTTAGATATAGTCACTGGAGGCAGCCTTGGTGGAAGCAGCCAATTTACTGGAAGTCAATTAAACTTAAGATGAATTTGCTAAAAGCCAATCTTCAAGTGATCAATTTGCCAAATTACTAAAGATTTATTTTGTGGTTTTAATCTTGCCTTGGCTTTTCACGTTTAAAAGATGCATGTTGATTCCAAGTTGAATTCATATTTTAGATATCAAACATTTCTTGAATCTTCCATTTTCTCATCAGTGATTGCGATTTCTGTCACATGTGGTTTATTTTGCCACACTCCCACTGCTGCTGTCCCCAGGCTGTAGATTTCCTGTTTGAGTATGCTCTGACGAATATACTTTGAAGATCTGTGTGTGCATGTTCGGGAATTTTTTCCTTTGATACATTTCCAGAAATATCAAGGAATGTGGATACATCTAAGACTTTTGATGCAAATTGCCAAATTGCCAAACTATTTGCAAATTAGGCCAACTTACGTTCACATCAACAGGGTATAAGACACTGATTGAGGATCTGAATTTGAACTCTATTCCTACCAGCAGGAATTGAGGTTTCTGACACCTGGCCAACACCAGCTATCATCAGTGTCTCTCATCTTTACCAACATGGAAGATTAAAAATATTGTTGCATTGCTTTTTTAATGTGTGTGTCTTTAGTTATTAATGAAGTTAAATTTTTTTTCCGACTTAATGACCATTTTAACAACTTCTCTGAAATACCTGCTCATGTTCTTTGTCCATATTTTAGTGTTGGGCTTTATATGCATAAGTATATCGATCTTACATCATAGTTTTCCTAGTTTGTCTTTTTTATTTTGCTTATTGTGACTTTTGAGAATCAGCTTTTATTTTTTATCTAGTTAAATGTAAACATTTCCCCCTTCTTTTAGGTTTCTTTCCTCTGCTTTTTACCTAAGAAAAGCCTTCCTGATCCTGAGTTCTGATGAATGTTTATTTTATTTTTCTAGTTCTTATTTTTTTTAATTTAAATTTTTAAATGCATTTGGAATTTATATCGCTACATGGTGTTCTCTACTTTAAAAACAAAACCTGGGCAGGATGACTTTAAGCAGGGCTGGCATCTAATAACAATGACCCCTGATAATAGTGGCAATGTGAACGCAATCTTAAAGCCTTCAGATGGGAGATGTCATTAGGTCTATTTAATTCCTCTCTTCGGAACCCTGAATAGAATTGAGCCATCAACTGTGGTTTGCGTCACACATTGTTGACTTTCTTAGTCAACATTACATTGACTAACTTTAATTTTAAAAAGAAAGATTGAATTAAGGCATACTCTAAAATGAGCAAGAGAATTTATGATCACAAAGAATAGATTCTAAGTCCCTCTTAGAACCTCCTCTGCAACTTACACACACCCCTAGATTTTTCCAAGTTAATTATTATATTTAGTTAGTTATTGAATAGGGGTCTCACTTTGTTGTCCATGCTGGAGTGCAGTGGCACAATCATGGCTCCCCACAGCCTCAATCTCCTGGGCTCAGGTGATCCTCCCACCTCAGCCTCCTAAGTTGCTGGAACTGCAGCACGTGCTACCATGTCCAGCTACCTTTTTCATTTTTTGTGGAGAGGAGGTCTTGCTATTTTGCCCATGCTGGTCTCGGACTCCTGGGCTCAAACAATCCACCTGCCTCAGTCTCCCAAAGTGCAGGGATCACAGGCGTGAGCTACCACACCTGGCTTAAATTCATTTTAAAAATTTAACTGGCCAGACGTGGTGGCTCAATTATTTAAAATATGCATACTAAGTTTTGTTATCAAACATCTGTGCTTTTCTCTGTGTGTATTAATAATAATAAATTAAATAATTAAAATTTTAAGATTCTCCCTTAAAATTCCTTACAGTAAAGATATATGAGTATATAAATATTTATTAAGCACTTACTTTGTTGCTAATTAATTTTTCAGGTGGTAGCTGGACAGAAATTTTTTATTGAGTTCACGGCCAGGGAAACCACATGTTCCAAAGAAAGTAATGAAGAGTTGACTGAAAGTTGTGAGACCAAAAATTCTGGCGTAAGTAGTAATGCTCGTCTGCTTTTTCACTGGAAACCTATTTGATGTTTTAAGAATCTCTTGTTTAAGTATCTCATGAATAACACTGGCCTCTCTTTTGGCCTTTATTTTTATGGATAGAAAGCTCTAGACTGCAGTGCTGAAGTTTATGTGATACCATGGGAGAAAAAAATCTATCCTACTGTCAACTGTCGACCAGCAGTAATGGTATGATTTTAATCACAGTTGGCTTGGGGTCATTTCTGCTCATTCAGGAACGCCATATCTGGGGGCTGAAAATTAACCATTACTGAAATGAATTGGGGAACTATCTTTTCTAAATGGGGAGGATTCTCATGTTTCTGTGCTGATCTCTCTTGTTTAATGGTTAGAAAGGAAAGCAACAATCCTCACACGTGTCAGTATCCCATGAAAACAACTTTTTTTTTTCTGGGTCAGAGTCTTACTCTGTCTCCCAGACTGGAGTGCAGTGACATACTACCACGACATGGCTACCACAGCCTTGACCTGCTCAGGCAATCCTTCCGCCTCAACCTTTCAAGTAGCTGGAACCACAGGCATGCGCCACTACTCCTGGCTGATTTTTTTATTTTTTGTAGAGAAGAGGTCTCGCCATGTTGCTCAGGCAGGTCTTGAACCCCTGAGGTCAGGCAATCCTCTTGCCTCCACCTCCCAAAGTGCTGGGATTACAGGCTTGAGCCATGATGCCTGGTTTCATGGAAACTTCTATGGATGCTTTCTTAGTGAAGCACAGCCTCTGCTGTGAGGAGCTAAGGTGAGATACAGCACTTCACTGTGCTTGGTTTACATCCAAGGACCTTGTGAGAAATGCAGACTCTCAGATCCCACTTCACATCTACTGAATCAGAATCTGCATTTTAACAAGATCCCCAGGGGATTCATACTCATGATTCAAGTTTGAGAAACATTAGTTGACATCATCTATTTTTAAGTCTTAAAAGAACCCTGAAGCTGGCACCATGGCTCACATCTGTAATCCCAGCAATTTGGGAGGCTAAGGTGAGAGAACTACTTGAACCCAGGAGTTTGAGACCAGTCTGGGCAACATAGTGAGACGTGTCTTTACAAAAAATTAGCCGGGCATGGTGGTGTGTGCCTGTAGTCCCAGCTCCTCGGGAGGCTAAAGTGGAAGGTGGAAGAATCTCCTGAGCCCAGGAGATTGAGGCTTTAGTGAGCTGTGAGTGTGCCACTGCACTCTAACCTGGGTGAGAGTGAAAGCTCAACTAAAAAATAGTAATAATAAAAATCCTGGGAGGCAATAACACTTTCTCAATTGTCAAGGATGAAACACAAAACATTAGAAAGACTCTGAGATTCCAGAGTGGATAATGACATTGCCAGGTGCTTCCTCTGTTCCAGGCACTGTGCAAAAGACTTCACACACATTTTCCATTAGTCTTCCTTATAACTCTATGAAGCAGGTGCTATTGTTATTCCTACTTTATAGAAGAGAAAAGTGAAGCTAGTGGCACTCGGATTAAAATCTAGGTCAATTCAGAGTCCACCTCTTTCATCATGATGCCGATTACTAGCAGGGTCTGACCTGACTCCAAAGCCCATGTTCTTTGCACTACCAAACACTGCCTCCAACCCTCAGGTTCTTATAGGTAGTAAAAGTGTGGTAGAAATTATCCACAAATTGATATCCTCAGTGCAAGTTGCCTCTTTTCCCTCTTTTCTGATTTAGCTTTTTACCACAGGTAGGTGCATAGATAGTCTAAGCATTATGAAAAGGCTGTATTTCAAGCTTGTGAACAGATCCTAATGTGTTTCAGTCCAACAAAATTATTACGGATATATGCTCCCTTTATATTCAGTTCATCAAGCCACTTACTTAGGGCCTTTTAGGATAAAAGCAGTAATAATGGTAAGAGAAATAATATCAATAATTAGACGGTGTATCATGGACTTACATACTCATAGGCTTAGAAGATACCCTAGAGATTATATAGTCTAACCCCCTGGCTTTTCCAGATGAAGAAACAACTCTCCAGCTTATTTTCGAGCATTATTAAGAGCCATAATCAGAGCCATAACCAATGTCCACAAATTTTAAGATCAACCAAAAGAGGAAAAAAGCAGTATTCATTTTTTTTCTGGAGTATTAATATAGTATTTAAAATCTGGCAACGACCTGCTCTATTAAAAACCAAGATAACACTGCCAGAGCTCAGTGTCTTCTTTCGTAATTGATAGTGTGGTTTTTGCAGTAATGCATTCGTCTTAATATTTCCTGTTTAGATCTCATTGATGAAAAGGCCTCCAGGTTTTTCACCTTTCCGATCAGCACTAATAGAGAAAATAGGAGAAGAAATAACTGTAAGTCCGCCCCACACTTCTATGGCACCTGAGCAAGACAAAGAGCGGGATTCAGGAAAAGAACAAGGACCCATGCGTGGGCATGGCTGGGGCCATGTAAAGCAAATAAGACGTGGCTTTGGTCACGGCCATAAACATGAGCATGACCAAGGCCTTGGACACCAAAGGGGACATAGTCTTGGCCATGGACACCAAAAGCAACATGGCCTTGGTCATGGACATCAGCTCAAACTTGATGGAGATCTTGAACACCAAAGGGGCCATGGCCTTGATCGTAGACATAAGTATAGGCATGGTCATGGCCATGAAAAACATAAAAATAAAGGTGAAAATAACAGAAAGCACGACGGTTGGAAAACAGGGCATTTGGCAAGCTCTTCTGAAGACAGTATGACATCTTCTGCACAGACACTAGAAAAGTCAGAAAGGACAACGAGACCCATGCCTTATCCAGCCCAGCCAGATGTAGCAGTTACCTTTTCTGACTTTCAGGACTCAGATCTCTTTGTAACTGTGATGCCTACTATACCACCAACTCCCACAGACAATGATGATGATTGGATCCCTGATATCCAGATAGAACCAAATAGACTTTCTTTTAATCTGATATCAGATTTTTCAGAAATAACCTCCCCCAGATGTCCTGGACGCCCCTGGAAACCAGTTAGTGAGATGAATCCAACCATGAAAATAGAAGAAGCTCATGAATTCAATCTTTTTGATGCTCTTTATTAATGTATGAAGCCACGATTATTTCTTTAACACTTCATTATTCCCTTTCCCCATTGTCTAAACACAAATATTTCGCCATTGTCCAAACACAAATAATGCACCAAAAACTATGACTCTTCAGAACAGCCTAGAGAGAAGTGGTAAGCCTCCCAGTAGGGACACCGTCGATCTCCATGGACTACATAAAACTATGTGCCAGAATTCTAAATCCTTTCTTGATGTTCCTCACAAGTTTTAGAAATAACACAGAATTTGGACAAACTAGTATACCTTATGGCCTACTGTAACAGCTTCTCTGATAATAAATATATACCTTAGAATATAAATCATCAATTTTTATGGTACACACCTGTAGTCCCAGCTACTCGGGAAGCTGAGGCAGAAGGATCACCTGAGCCCAGGAGATCGAAGCTACAGTGAATCATGATTGTGTCACTGCACTCCGATCTGGGTGACAGAGTGAGACCCTAACTCAAAAAAGAAAAGAAAAGAAACTTCCACATGTCAAAGAAGGATAACAAGAAAGAAAGGCAGACTGACCAAAGGAGGAAAGGGGGAAATAAATTAATTGACTTTATGTTTTCAAAATGGGCTAGTTATATTAAATAGGTACTCCCACTTGACAGAGCTATTCTGATAATTTTCTTTCTGGGTAAGAGTGTTTCTCGTAAGTCAATAATTTCTGTTTACTCATTAACTACTCTTTGCAACAGACTTTCCAACAGGAGTATTCTGTTTATTTTTTTGCCAGGGTTAAATTGAGTAATTTTTAGTTTCTAGAATCTCTGCATTTAATGATAAAGATGGAAAGCTGAAGAAGGCTTGCTAAGGAAACTTGTAAAAAATAATTGACAAGGGAATATTATGGAATGTGAAACAAACTTTCTTCAAAAATTTTATGAGGAAATCCCTCTCTTGTCTCCTTTATAATTGCATCATCTTTTTACTGTAACATTAAAGACCATTGACTTTACAGAGGAGAAACATTGCCATATAGTAGAAGGAAGATATATGTTTTATAACCAATGCTGTACTTTTGCCTAGAAAAGCAAGATATGGCTTTAAACAGCTATACTCATCTGTGAATGCATATGTCATTGCTACTTCAATTTATTGGCTGCATTTGCACCTCTGAGTTTTTTATTTCATTTTAACTATTGTCTGTACTTTCAAATAAAGAACCAATGATGTCAGGAAAAAGTCTTACCTTGTCAACTGGTTGCTTCACCTTTTTGTAAATTGAATGATAATATCAAATTAATGGAGTTTTGCTATACTTACAGAAGCACTTAAGGTCCTGCGAGTACAAGGCCCAACCCCCAAAGCCAGAGGCAGAGCCAGCATCTGAGAGGGAGGTGTCCTGACCAGTGGGCAGAATCTTCACTCCTGGCAACTAGCCCCAGCAACCTCTGCCAGCAACCTTGAGTGGAAAAACAAGAAGAAAGATGGGATAGAATTTAAATAGAGAAGAATACCATTTAAACACTGTGTTCCTGGGTGAAATAAAGTTCAGTCTTGACATGCTCTCTCCTGGTTAATTCACAGTAGTCACACCCAGCCAGCAGCAAGTTCCAGCTGGTCAGAGAGCCAGTGTTGTTGTCCTGCCATGGAGACGCGTAACCCAGCTCTGGAATACTCTCTAACCAAAGCAGAAATCCCTTAGGTGGGACTTTCTTACTACCAAGACTTCACTTGGGCACTAAAGGAAGGGTTAGTGGGTCATGCTTCTACCAGAAATCTAAAGATACTCTCTCTCTTCCTTCCCTTCTGCACCCATCTCCTGATTCCCAGGCATAAGCTAAGAGTAATTTGGCTTATTTATTATTTTTTAATTATCCAGATAATTATCAAAAAAATTTCAATCTTCTTTGTTAATAGTATGTTTACCAACTTCTCATTATCAAAAAATAGCTAATCTCCAAAAGAAGTTTCAAGAAAAATGGAAATTATCTTATGATCTAGGTAAAGGAGAAAATATAAAACCAATCAAATAAAAAGTGGTAGAGATTTTAAATTTTCTGTAATAAAAATATGTGTTGAGGCTGGGCGCAGTGGCTGAAGTCTGTAATCCCAGCAGTTTGGGTGGCTAAGGTGAGAGGATTGCTTGAGTCCAGGGATTCGAGACCAGCCCAGGCAACTTGGTGAAACTTCGTTTCTACAATAAATCAAAAAATTAGCTGGGCATGGTGGTGCGCACCTGTAGTTCCAACTACTTGGAAGGCTGAGGTGGAAGGATCACCTGAGCCCAGCAGGTCAAGGCTGCGGTGGCTGTGAGCATGCCACTGCACTCCAGCCTGGGAGACAGAATGAGACTCCAACTAAAAAAAAAAGCATTGAATGCCTAGTAGAGCCATTTACCATGCTATACCATTTACTCCAGGTGTCTAACTTAATCCTCACAACCCCTGTTGGGCCCCTGTGGTCATCTTTCTTTTGCAATGAGGAAACTATAGTTCTCAGTGCCCTGCCCAGGGTCACACAGTTAGTGACAGGACTGACATTCGGACTTAGACCTTTTGATCTCCACCGCATCACATCATCTTGATGCTTTATTATGTTGTTATTACAAAAAAATACACTAAGATAATTTCTGACTCTGAGAAGATCATTCTCTCAATCCAAAAAATCCTTATTAAATACCTCAGTGTTATTGGTGCTGTTCTGAATACTGCTCAGGGTAAACTGATTCAAGCAACAGTCATTGACTATTTACCACATGCTTAGAACGAGGTCACAAGAAGATGAAAAATAAATTTTAAAAGACACAAATCCTTTCCCTCAGAGAGCTTACAATTCCGCTGGGAAGTCAGGACAGAAGCATATGGAGCGAAGACTTAATTCAAGCTATGATCATTGGTGGAACAGTGAGCAGACACGACTAATGTGATAAGAAGACGATGAAGAGATGGAGGATCAACTGGAAAAGGCAGAAGGAAGCCCAGCTGGGAACTTAGGTTGAAGTAGGAAGTAGAGCTCTCTTCTGCAGTTCTTAACATACTCAAAGAGTGCTTAAGACCAAGTATTCCAGCTGGGCACGGTGGCTCACATCTGTAATTCCAGCACTTTGGGAGGCAGAGGTGAGAGGATTGCCTGAGCCCAAGGGTTGGACCAGCCTGGGCAACTTGGTGAGACCTTATCTCTACAATAAAATTTTTTTTTAGTCAGAGTCTCACTCCATCATTCGGGATGGAGTGCAGTGGCACACTCACGGCCACCCCAGCCTTGACCTGCCAGGCTCAGGTGATCCTTCCACCTCAGTCTTCCAAGTAGCTGGAACTACAAGCACGTGCCATCACGCCTGGCTAATTTTTTGATTTATTATAGATATGAGGTCTTGCCAAGTTGCCCAGGCTGGTCTCAAACTCAGGCAATCCTCTCGCCTCCACCTCCCAAAGTGCTGGAATTACAGGTGTGAGCCACTGCTCCCAGCTACAATAAATTATTTAAAATGCCAGGTGTAGTGATGCATGTCTATAGTTCCAGCTACTCAGGAGGCTGAGGTGGAAGGATTGCCTGAGCCTAGCAGGTCAAGGCTGAAGTAGCCACGCTCATGCCACTACACTTCAACCTGGGTGGCAAAATGAGACACTAACTTTTAAAAAAGGCTAAATATTCTGAAGGTTCTGGGTAACGTGGATCATAGAGAGAAGAAAATAGAGTCAAGGTGCTGTTCCCGGTATTTCCAGACCATCACATTTTAACAGAAGGCTGGTATACATAGGCTGGTTCTCATTATTCAACAACATGAAGTATTTCCACCTCTGGCCTTTATTAGATAATATAAACACTAGTTTCCTGCGACCCAGAACCTATCTTTCTCAATTTTTAAATATCTGTGCCCACCCCATTCCTGAGTCAAAGGCACACACAGGGTGTGTGGTCTTGTCTCTGGGACCACGCAGTTTTATCCCTCTATGTTCCTCTTCAATGTGGAAATGTCCTCCTGTTCAGTCCAACCCACATTCTTCACACTATCTAAGCCTAGCTCCTCAAGCAGGAGGCCTCTGTTGGGTTTTAATTCCCCCTCCATTTCCTGCTTCTAAGCCTGGTTCCAAAAACTTAACTCACAAGGACACACTGTGCTGGCCTCGTCCCAGTCTGTCCCATATCCAAGCTCCCCCTCTGCTGGTGCTCTGTGCCTTTAACTTGTGGAAAAACCCAGATCTCCCCAAGACTCCTATGAGAAGACTTGAGGGGATCCAGTAGATATGTTAAAAACCCACCCCTGGTCAGGCACGGTGGCTCACACCTGTAACCCAGTACTTTGGGAGGCAGAGACAAGAGAATTGACTGAGTCCAGAGGTTTGAGGTCAGCCTGGGCAACTTGGCAAGGTCCTGTCTCTATAATAAATCAAAAAATTATCTGGGCATGGTGGCATGAGCCTGTAGTCCCAGCTACCTGGAAGGCTGAGGTGGAAGGATCACCTTAGTCCAGAGGACTGAGGCCGTGGTGGTCATGAGCATGCCACTGCACTGCAGCCTGGGCGATAGAGTGAGACTCCTACCCAGCCCCCAAAAATAAATAAATGATAAAAACCCACTCCTTCAGAAGTCCCAATGTCTCTCTTTATAATGTTAGATGATCAGAAAGCAAAATATCATCTCAACATTTTGCAAAAATGCTTATGTTAAATTATTTAAGCTACACCTTCAGCGTTTATTTTATGAGTCTTCATTTGAATACCAATTCATCTTTTTTTTTTTTTTTTTGAGTTGGACTTTTATTCTGTCACTGGGATGACAGTGGCACACTTCCAGCTCACGGCAGCCTTAACCTCCTAGGCCCAGGCAATCCTTCAGCCTCAGCCTCCCAAGTAACTAGGACTACAGGCATGCACCACCACACTGGCTACTTTTTAAACTTTTTGTAGAGACAGGGTCTTACTATGTTGCCTAGGCTGATCTCAAGAGATTCTCATGCCTCATTCTCCAAAGTGCTGGGATTACAGGTGTGAGCCATCATGCCCAACCTCCATTCCATCTTTTGCAAAACTTTAATTGGAAGTATTGCCCAGTGTATTCACATTAGAGGTAGTACCATGAAGTGGTTAAGAACAGGGTCCTGCCGGGCACAGTGGTTCCCGCTTGTAATCCCAGCACTTTGGGAGGCAGAGCGAGAGGATTGCCTGAGTCCAGGGGTTCAATACCCTGTATCTGCAATAATAAAAAATTAGCCGGGAGTGGTAGCACGTGCCTGTGGTTCCAGCTACTAGGTCGAGGCCATGTGAGCATGGCACTGCACTCCGGTCTGGGCAACAGAGGGAGACTCCAATTCAAAAAAAGAACAGAATTCTATAGTTATACAGCCTGAGTCCAAAAGGTGCCAATTTATTTAATCTCTCAAAGCCCCAGTTTTCTCTTAGGAAATACTAGGTTAATAATATATACTCACTCACCTCATAGGAATGGTATGAAAATTGAAAGAGATAAATTCCTATAATTAGCATAACTCTTAGCAATTATAAGCATACACAATAAAGGGTAGCAATTATTACATTACTTGGGCATATATAAGATATCACTTTTAGAGTTTAACTCCGGGAAAAAAAATATTTTGTCAGACAATGAGACAGAATCCAGTCATTTTTGCCTTTGCAGCTATGCTCAGGATTCAAATATTGTTATCTGTTCATACCAAGTGGCTGGTAATATTTACTCTCTCATTTCTACTTCCTCAGGTTCTCAACCTTGGCTGCACATTAAAATAACCTAGGGAGCTCCAGATCATTTGAATCCAAATCTCTGATGGTAGTCCCAGGCATCAGTATTTTCCAAACATTCTCTATTGAGTCTAATGCATCCAAAGGGTGAGAATAATTGATTTAAGCCCTCTCTGTCCTCTTTTTAATTGTGCTATCCAGTTTTACACTGTTCCACTTGATTAATATTTTCAAATTTTTTTGAAAATAGAAGGTTATGAGCAATAGATGGAAGGATGGATGGCTATAAGTCATTTAGACTATAAGTCATTATAGACTATAAGAATATGGCCAGGCTCGGTGGCTCAGCCTGTAATCCCAGCACTTTGGGAGGCCAAGGTGAGTGGATTGCCTGAGCCCACGGGTTTGAGACCAGTCCTGGCAACTTGGTGAGACCTCGTCTCTACAATAAATCAAAAATTAGCTGGGCATGGTAGCATGCGCCTATAGTTCCAGTTACTTGGAAGGCTGAGGTGGAATGATTGCCTGAGCCTAGTGGGTGGAGGCTGCGGTAGCCATGAGTATGCCACTGCACTCCAGCCTGGGTGACAGAGTGAGACTTTAACTCAAAAAAAAAAAATCTTAACTTCTATTTATACAAATGAATTAGAACTATGACTCTAGCAAAAGAATTTGGTTATAACAGCCTTCCTGTGTTTTATCTTCTCTATATGACAATTAGAGATGGTACCACATTGAGTGTGAAAATAACACTATTCTCTGCATTAAAAATGGATGAAATAGTAACTCGGAAAAAATATAAGCACAAGCTTTTTAGATAAGTCATATTTACCACCCAGGGGATTTTGTACTGTATCAACTTGGTTAAGCAGAAAGTATGTTTTCAAGAAGCTCCCTTCCTTTATGGTTCTAGGTTAAAGTTATCCAAAGGAGAAATTCGTGTGAGATCTGGAAGACAAAATGAAGCCGCAGCCACTAACTACTCTCTGAAAGTTGTTGGGGTAAGATGCAGTGAGAGATGGGTGCAGAGATGACAGAGAGTTTCAGCCTGTCCTCCCTCTCCCCTGCCTGGCATGCAGCTCTTGTTCCACTGCCAGGCATGCTGACCTGTAACCATATTAGACCTCCCAGGGGCAAAAGCCTTCCACAGATTTCTCCACTGACTCCCTTGGGCCATCCCTTGGCAGTTAGATGTGCTTGTCCAGATTTCCCTAAAAGATCTGACTTGACCAGCAGCACCCATGCTTTTGAGAGACTAATAAGTAATCTTTTCCTGATTCTACACCTTCCCTTTTCCGGACTTTACTTTTCTAGTTCCTCCCACAACAGCATAAGATCTAGATAAATCTCCTGGGTCAAAGTATTTACAATGGTTCCGCTTTCCTGATCAAACCTTGACTGCCAAGCCAGCTTTTTTTTACCCTGTCAGTGCACGTTAGGAGAATATGTTCTATTGCTTTAAATGCAGAACCAGGGCCCAGAAATGGGACTGGATCTGAGCATCTTCTAAGAAAATGATTAAAGGCTGTTCCTGCCCTCGAGAGACAGCATAGTGGGAGACACAGACATGTAAAACATACACATAAATCAGCATAAAAATTTAAATGGTAGAGGTGTGTTTAAGATACAATGAGAAGGAAAAGAAACATAGAGAAGTAAGAGTCAAGTTTGAGAAACTGTAAGACACCGAAAATGCAAGGACCTATCTCACACAGCATCATACTCCCAGAGACCACATACAGTGCCTAACAGAAAATTAGTGCTCAATAAAAAAAAATTGGGAGAGTCTCACTCTGTCACCTAGGCTGGAATGCAGTGACATGATCACGGCTCACCACACGTTTTCGTAGGCCTGAGGCTATTCATATTTAAATTTCTCTGATGATTAGTGAGGTTGTGCACTTTTTCATGTCTGTTGGCTGCCTGTAAGTCTTCTTTTGAGAAGTGTCTATTCATGTCCTTTGCCCACTTTTTAATGGGGCTATTGTTTTTTTCTTTTTGACACATTTGAGTTCCTTGTAGATCCTAGATGTTAGGCCTTTGTCAGATATACAGTTGGCAAATTTTTTTCCCATTCTGTGGGCTGTCTTCCTGCTCTCTTGATGGTTTCTTTTGCTTTGCAGAAGCTCATCAGTTTGATGAGGTCCCACTTAGCTATCTTCTTTCTTTTTTTTTTTTTTTTGAATTGGAGTCTCACTCTGTCGCCCAGACTAGAGTGCAGTGGCCACTCCCGGCCATCGCAGCCTCGACCTGCTGGGCTCCGGCGATCCTTCTGCCTCAGCCTTCCACGTAGCTGGAACTACAGGCTCGCGCTACCACACCCAGCTAATTTTTTGATTTATAGTAGAGATGAGGTCTAACCAAGTTGCCCAGGCAGGTCTCGAACCCGCGGGCTCAGGCAATCCACTCACTTCAGCCTCCCAAGGCGCAGGATTACAGGCTGAGCCACCAAGCCTGGCTATCTTATTTCTTATGGTGTGGGCACTTAGGGTTTTGAACAGGAATTGGTTGCCAGTTCCGATTTCCATAAGGCTGTCTCCTACATTTTCTAAGAATCTTATAGTTTGAGGTTTTACATTATTATATACGTTAATGTTTCGTGTAGAAAATTTAGAAACACAGAAACATGTAAAGAAGCAAATAAAAACTATTGTAATCTCATCAGCCCAAGAAAACTGCTGTTGAAAATTTGGGTATGACTTTCCAGAAATGCTTTCTCCAAATGTCTGTCTGTATGCATATGTATTCCAATAAAGAAATTATGCTGCAAATATAGTATACAATCTCTATTTTTCTTTTTCTTTTTGAGTTGGAGTCTCCCTCTGTCGCCCAGGCTGGAGTGCAATGGTACGCTCGCAGCCACCCCAGGGTCGACCTGCTGGGCTCTGGCGATCCTTCTGCCTCAGCCTTTCAAGTAGCTGGAACCACAGGTGTGTGCCACCACTCCCGGCGAATTTTTTATTTATTGTAGAGATGAAGTCTCGCCAAGTTGCCTGGGTTGGTCTTGAACCCGCGGGCTTAGGCAATGCACTAGCCTAGGCCTCCCAAAGTGTTGGGATTACAAGCTGAGCCACCAAGCCCAGTCTCAATTTCCATTTTTCACTAGACATATATTGTAATTTTTTTGCCTTTAGATTTGTTTCTTATCAATTCTTTTACAGTTATAATAAAATATGTGAATACCTTTTAGTACTGATACACTGCTGGAACACTGCAGGGGGTAAGAAAATTCAAGAAGTATGGTATTTGTCGTTACTGTTATTGTGTACCCTGCAGCTGCCATCATGAAGTACGGACCCATAAAATAGGTGGGGACTTATCTGGAGTCCTTGGTCGCTGACTCATGGGAGGAAGCAACTGTGTTTACCTTCTGAAAAAGTGTTTCTACATGTGAGAGATGATTCAAATTACCTTTTTAATCTTATTCAAGTGAGTAAGGATTCTTTGTGAGCTTAGAGCCCAACCAAGAGGGCTTCTTACTGCTGATGGGAAACGGTCGACTCACAGACAGGCAGAACTCCTTTCCCTAGAAGGTTACCTTTCCTCCTTAACGAGGAACTGCTGCCCCCCAGAGGACAAATATGCAAGTGACGGTCTCTATGGGACCCTTGGGGCCACTGGGAGGAATGTGTTTTTTTTCTTTTTAATAAGTATATTCCCCTCCTCTTTTGTTTTCTTCTTGCTCTTACAAGGCTTCCAAGTAATTTTGGTTTACCTAAGAGTATTCTAATTTCTTTTGTTATCTGGATGTAGTTTTTCCCCCCTGAAAACCCATAAGTACCCAGGAAGATCTAGGACTGGAAAGGAACTCCAGCCTTTCTGAAACCTTCAGTAGTAAAAGTTTTCTGTTAAAAAAAAAAAAAAGCCGGGTTCTGTGGTTCAGCCTGTAATCCCACGCCTTGGGAGGCTGAGGTGAGTGGATTGCCTGAGTCCGAGGGTTCGAGACCCACCTGGGCAACTTGGTGAGACCTCATCTCTACAATAAATCAAAAAATCAGCCAGGCGTGGTAGTGCGCGTCTGTAGTTCCAGCTACTTGGAAGGCTGAGGCGGAAGGATCGCCGGAGCCCAGCAGGTCGAGGTTGCGGTGGCCGGGAGCAGCCACTGCACTCCAGTCTGGGCGACAGAGTGAGACTCCAACTCAAAAAAATAAAATAAAATAAAAGTATATTAAAAAAGAAAAATGAGGCCGGGCACAGTGGCTCATGCCTATAATCCCAGCACTTTGGAAGGCAGAGGCAAGAGGATTGCCTAAGCCCAGGGGTTCGGGACCAGCCCTGGCAACTTGGCGAGATATCATCTCTACAATAAAAAATTTTTTAAAAATTAGCCAGACTTGGTGGTACGTGCCTGTAGTTCCAGTTCCTTGGAAGACAGAGGCAGAAGGATTGCCTGAGCCCAGCAGGTCGAGGATGCGGTGGCTATGAGCACGATACTGCATTCCAGTCTGGGCAACAGAATGAGACTGTAACCCAAAAAGAAAAAAAAAAAGGAAAGAAAAGCAACAAAGCCCCTAAGCTCCCAGATTACTAAAGCAAGTTCAATCTTTGGTATCCAAACACACTTATGTACTTACTGATCTTGTTTTCACTTCCTCCTTCATTTTGAATATCTGCAGATAATTCTTTTTTTGTTGCCAGCTCATCCATAAATTTAAAATAATTTGAATTGTGAAAGTTATTATGGGGGATTTCCAGGTCATATTAATATACTACACATGTGGAGACTGTGAAGAAGGAGAAATCGAGCTCAGGAGGTGGTGGAAAGGCTGGGGGGAAACAACTGAACATGTGGAATCCCAATGCCGGGCAGCCCGGACCAACTCCATATCTCCCCAACATCGGGTACCCTGGAGGTTCCAATCCTGCCCATCCAACACCTGTCAATCCAGCCTTTTCTCCCAGCCCCTTTCCCTGTCCTCCAGGACCTCCCCAGGGGAATCCAGCTTTCCCCTCCAGGCGGGCCCCCTCATTCTGTGCCACAGTCAGGGTATCCAGGATGCCAACCTTCCGGTCCCTATCCTCCTCCATAGCCTCCGCCTGCCCCCGGTATGCCTCCTGTAAATCCCTAGCATGTTAAGACCAGGAATGGTAATGGACAAGAAGATGTGGAAGAAAATGAAGAAAGCTCATAAGGAGATGCACAAACACCATAAGCACGGCAAGCATTCCTCCTCCTCTTCCTCCTCCTCTTCCAGCAGTGACTCTGACTGAATACAAGGCCTGGACTCTTCCCTCAAGTCTTACCAGTTCTGCTCTCCCATCAAGCTTCAGATGCCATGTTGTTCTGGGGGAGATCAGCCCTTGCGTCTACCCACCTCCGCCCCTACATGAACCTCACTCTGCTGTTCAGCCCTGAGTGGCTAGGGAAAATGAGAAGAGGATTGCCATAGCTAGCAAAGGCCGTTGTGCTGCTTAGATAGACCTTATAGCCACTGAGTTTAGCAGGGGAGCTGTTTGTTGAAGCTGGTGGGTGAGACCTTTGGGGCCAAATGTGAAGACAAGCTTAAGCTCTGTAAAATGTGATTTTAAAAATTTCCTTTCATAATATTTACAGTTGGGGGTTTTATGGAAATCTAATTAAGAAGAAAAACCTGTACCTTTTTTGCAATATTGGCACAATTGGGTAATTAATGATAAATGCATCTCCTAGCAGGCCTTTTCTTGGTTGTGCTAACCATGAGGTTTCTGGGAAGTAAAGTTCATTTGGTTGATGAGCTTTGGTGTTGTTTTTGAACCTGAGCTCTACTCCTTAGCTCAATATATTCCCTCAAGTCTTGCTTTCCAACTCTCAAGCAAAATAAAGCTATTTCTCCCGGAAAAAAAAAAATACTACACATGTAACTTTAATTCCCCATTTTTTCTTTAACCAAACTATATACCCTCACCACTGAACCTGTTCTAGTCAATATTACCAACAACATCCATCTTGCAAATTCAGGAATCAGTTCTTAATAGTGGTATTAATCTTTCATCAGCATATAAACCATTGAGAACTCCCTCCTTGAAACTCTTTATTCCCTTGGTTGGCCACACTCTCGAGCTCTTTACTGGCCTCTCCCCAGTCTTCTCTGTGGACTCCTACCCCTTGTTGACGTTGAATGTTGAGTATTTCACTACCCAGTCTCTCATAACTCTACACTCACTTCCTAAGTCTTACGATCTAGCCTGATTATTTTATTTTTATTTATTTATTTGTTTTTGAGTTGGAGTCTCACTCTGTCACCCATGCTAGAGTGCAATGGAATACTCACGGCCACCGCAGCCTCAAACTGCTGACTCAGGCGATCCTTCTGCCCCAGCCTTCCAAGTAGCTGAAACTACAGGTGCATGTCACCACACCTGGCTAATTTTTTTATTTATTGTAGAGACAAGATCTCACCAAGTGACCCAGGCTGGTCTCAAACCCCTAGACTCAGGCAATCCTCTCACCTTGGCCTCCCAATGTGCTGGGATTACAGACTTGAGCCACTGCACTCGGCCTAGTCCGATGATTTTGAATGCCATATATATATGCTAATGACTCTCAAACTGAGAACTTTCTATAGGATTTCTAACTTCCCACCCCCGTCCCAGACTCATATATACAACTGCCTTCTCAACATCATTGTTGGAATGTCAGACTTAGTATGGCCCAAATCGAACTCTCAGTTTGGCAATTTGGTGCCAACAGTAGTAGCAAATAGAACAGAAAAGTCAATCACTATGGCATATCAAAAACTTCCTTAGGGGGTGGCAGGTAGGCCTTTGGCCTTTGGGTTATAGTGTCCCCAAATCTGACCAGTTCTCTACATGACCTCCAAACTTCAAGTATACCTTCATGAGCACCCTCCATCCCAAGATCTTTCTATTCTCCACTTTTGGAGACTAGATCTCTAGACTAGCCAGAGTGGAAGAGGAAAGTTGCCTAACTACTTGGGAAAAAGGGAGGAACTCCTAAAGCCTAATTTCAACAACTACTTTTCTCTTTATCTTTCTTTTCTTTCTTTCTTTTTTTGAGTTGGAGTCTCACTCTGTCGCCCAGACTGGAG